GTAACAGTCGTTCTAAGACTGATAATGTTTGTTAAAGTTGTAACAGTTGTTAAATTTCACTGCTGCAGTTATTTTGTAACTGTCCCAACTTTAAAAGTGTTTGTCTAAAACATAAATCGACTGCAACAACGCTAGAAATAACTGTCACAGTCATTAAAGGACTGATACAACTATTTCAAAGTTGTAACAGTTGATTTACATCTGTCCCAACTCGAAAAACGTTGCAACAGTCATAAATAAACTGATTAAACGCCTAAAAGGTTGTCACAGTCATAATAAGACTGCTGCAACCATTTGAAAGTTGTAACACTTATTTAATAACTGTCCCAACACGGAAAACGTTGAAACAGTCATAAATAAACTGTTTAAACGCTGAAAAGGTTGTAACAGTAAAAATATGATTGCTACAACCATTACATAGTCATAGCTAATTTATAAGTGAAGCAGCTTCCAAACATTGATCGTCATTAAGACTTAAAAGTCACGGATACAAAATTTCTGACAGTCAGGGATAGGTTAAATTATTTGTAAAACAATTTTACCGTGTGCAATATAAGGTTGTGACAAAGAGACACAACTATCAAACCCATTTAATACATTAATTTTAGATAGAAATTGATTTAAAAAAAAAATATTTTGAAATATTTGCCACTGAACATTTTGGTATTCCCCGCTTATTTAGTGAATGAGCTAAATATATATAATTATTAACACTCCCTCGCCTATCATCTCATCGAACAAAATCGGAACCAGCACTAAATACCTGCAATTTCACACAGGACGGTTTTATTCGCATTTAAAACTAACCAAATGTATCTTTAACTGTATTAACAGTTGACAATTTTCATTTCAATATTATCTAAATAAAAACTTTTTAATTTTTTAAAATTAGTTAGGTGTGAAATCATTCATGCATACAAGGTTGTCTTCAATACCCGTAGTTTTACGAATCACATTACTTCATCATAACGGTCAATATACACGATATACTGTAAACACAGCGGGGAACTCCGAATATACACCCTTGTCAAACTTATCCCCATATTAAACTGCTTAATTTTTTCCCCGAGGGTTTATTTCACACACTTATTTTGAGCTTTTATTTCTGGCTACATTTTTTTTCTTGCAAAATTATAAATATTGCCGTATTAACCATTTTGATTTCTATACATATAAAAAAAATCAAAGCTATGATGAACATTTAACGCATCTTTTGCAGCTATGGAAAAACAAAAATAATCTTAAATCTATCTAAATTTAATTTATTTTACTGTATTTTATTTTTGAATAGTTCAATATTGACTCGACTTTGTACTGTATATTGTAACGAGTGGTCTATTTGAAGTTCAAATGTCCTTGATAAATAGCACTTCGGCATTCATTCATGATTGATTGAGGTAAAAATATTATCACTCGAGATCATTCATATTTTCACCGGATTTTTCTCAACCAATTTACCAAAAGTATTTATAAACAGATGGGCGTACTGTACAAGACCGACAAAATAACTAGCGCCAGTGAAAGTTGAAATGTTCAAAACAAGAAAACTCGCATTGTTTCAGACAAGGAAATCAAATCTTCTTTTATTTATTCACATAACGGTTTAGAACTTCTTGTATTCTTTAGACTCCGGTCTTGTTAAATTCTACAGACTGACATCGGATTCTCCTTTGTGGTTTCAGTTGATGAGATGTCGTACTAACCATGCTAACATTTATCTAAAATATTTTCCAATTTCCATTTTTTAAATTCAATTTATTTAATCATATAAATGCTTGTCCAATATTGATATATAATTCAAATAGTAAAGAAACCAAATGGGTCCAATATTCTAATTATATTCATCTTCAATCAGTGATGAAAACAGTACATATGTATTACCAGCAGAACTTATTTGGGCGCCCCTTAGAAAAAAAAATCATTGATTAATTAAATCACACAAATTGTTTTGACTCACTTTAATAGAAGGATGGACTGAAAATAAGTATTCTGGCCCTGGTCTGAGTGAAAATATATAATCTGGCTGCCTATATGTTGGAAATTAATATTCTGCCCATATCAAATTTGCCAATTCAGTTGCTAACTTCTATGTCATTGGATTTTAGGTGAAAAATTGTCTAATTTGTAAACAAGTACCACATCATTTTATTAATCAAATAATGATCTTATTAAAAAAAATGCAGTTCTATTTAACATTGTTGTCGACGTAAAGTTTTCACGTGTTTAGACGTATAGATATATGTTGACCTCTAGATTGTTATTTAGTTGTTGTTGGGTTGATGTTATAGTAGCAGTTTACTCAATTTCACCAATTTGTTATCATATGTTTTAGTCTATTTGTCATGTTTGTATTGCATAGGCTTTTCACACCATGCTATATATATATATGTCAATGTATGTATAATGTATATGTAAATTATAACAAACAGCTCACCAATAGTGCATAATACATGTATGCCTTTGTAATGCTTATTGTGTATATTGAAAATGTTGCTAAACATCTTGGGATATATATTTAGAAGGCATTTATTCAAAAGCAGATATAATGGATTTGTAGAAAAACATGAATAAGGGCAGAAGCCTGTTAATATTGGATCACCTATATGCATGATAAGCCTTTGGTAAACCATGATACATTTGTCATCACTCATGTTTCAATGGGTCTGTAAACATGATAAAAATGGGAGACATCAGAAATTATCATCCAGGAACTATTTTTTCAAATTCTAAACATGCTTAACTGTAATTTTGAGGCCCTATATAACTTGCTGTTCAGTGTGAGCCAAGGCTCTGTGTTGAAGACTGTACTTTGACCTATAATGGTTTACTTTTTCAAAATTTTTGACTTCGATGCAAAGTTGTCTCATTGGCAATCATACCACATCTTCTTATATCTATTAACTGACCCAATTTTATCGCCAACAGATTGTTTGTTGCTTTTGTATATAAATCAAACTTGGGTTTCTCATCTCAACTTGTTTACATTGTGTAACATCATTCAATATGGCTAGGCCTGTTATAGGTTTTTCATTATCATGATTATGTGGTACTGATTTTGCTCATTGTTGAAGGATGTGCAGTTACTAACAATTACATCACTTGGTCTCATTGATGGTTGTCTCATTGAAAATCATACCACATCTCCTTAATTTTTGTTATTGTACATTCATGACATTGTACATGTTATACAAGACTATTATCAAATGAATTATAACAATTGTTAATACTTGTCCGACTTTTGTTAACAAAAAGCAGCTATAATCAACATGGTAGACATGATCAATGGTGATGTAATAAGAGTGACTGTGCACACACTGAAATGTCAAGTCTGCTTTGCCTACATGTAAAATTGAATTTATGTTGAATGTAAAAAATGTAATACATGTATATATGAAGGTTTTACTACATGTACAAGTATCACATAAACTTTCCATTATCAATTACCTTTGAAAATGAAGTCATGGTCAAATTAACCATGCCAAACAGATGATGTACACCCTACAAACTGACATTCCATACCCAAAATTTAGTGGTTTATAGTATCTGTGAAATAGACTTAACATCCAAACCATGAAAACTAAACATTGCCCAATGAAACATGAAAATGAGGTCATGGTCAGATTTTAAACCTCCCAATCAAACATGTACAACTTACGAAGATATCCAATACGCCAAAAATAGTGATCCTATACATGTCATGCATGTACATGTACATGTAGTTTATAGCATCTGAGAAACATTGGGAAATAGACCAAACCACAAAAACTAAATTGTTCAATGAACCATGACATTTTCATTGAGGTCAAAGTCTGATGCAGGTCTTGCAGTCAGATATATTCACCTTACAATCATTTCATACACCAAATATAGTTGACCTATTATTCCTCTGAGAAACAAACTTGACAAAGTAACTGAAATAACCTTAATCACTGATCCATGGAATGAAGTCAAGGTCAGGTTAACCCTGCCTGACAGACAATGAGACATGTAGACCTTTCAAGATACCTATATATATATACCATATAAATTTATCCAATTACTCATTATACATGTACATGTTATACATGTAAGAGAGTATTTCACTGTATGACTGTTCAAACAGTCAGTGAACCATGAAAACAAGGTAAAGTGCAATGAACAAGTTACTAACAGAAACTTCATAACATAAAGAAGTATCCAGGTCTTTAAGCTTCTAAAATGTACCTAGTGAAGCTTTATACAAATAGGTTACGCTGTCAGTCAGGGATACTACTTGTACAAGTAATCTTTATTTACTTGAAGAGGTAAAAAAAATATACTTTTATACATGATATAAGTTAACTATAATGTTTGAATAATCTCCCCTTAATTTTCTCAAAAATTCACTTGTATAAGTAATTTTTTTTTACAACCCCACAAAAATTCTCAAGTTTGAGATGTAAAAACATGCCTTTAATGATTTTTCCCAGGATAGCTCATAATTTTTTATTAGAGCTCAATGTTTCATCTCATTAATTCAACAAAGAAACTGATTGCACAAAGATCTTAAGTATTTGCACAAGTCCTTCAAAAATTGCTCCTTGGGGGCTTGTAAATGAGCAGTGTTCTGAAGATAACAGACAAATGAGATTTTCATTGTTCATGAAATTACACTTAAATGATTAGTTAAGACATCTGCAAAAGACAGACAATTTAAAATTCTATTAGAGCAAAGAAGTCCTAAGAATTCAAGAAAAGAAGATAGGATGACTTTTTCACTTATATAAGTAAAAAAATCTGAATGTCTAAGGGACATAACTAAGGCAATTTTTTTTTACCTATACAAGTAAATAAAATACACTTGTATAAGTATCCTACAAATTTACTTATATAAGTATATTAATATTACTTCTTCAAGTAAATAAAAATTACTTGTACAAGTAGTACCCCTGACTGGCTGTAGCCGCTGCCAGATTGTAATACCTATTTCTTGCATACATCAACTTTTGTTGTAGGCGGGACTATAAAATTATACTTTGAAGTACATGGTTTATTTGTTTAATATGCTTGGGCACTAATTTAGATTTTTATTTAATTCTAATTCAGACTTTAAGTACAGCAAGCAGTCATTTGACACTTAACAACTGTGACCGACTACGAGAGACCCTCATGGGTGGTTAAGGTCTTTTTACACACCCTGGTGGTAGTTAACAATTGCAATGCCAACATAAACTTCGGATGCGATTTATACATGCACTGTGTTGTAAATTTCACTGAAACTAGAAATTCACATTATATCCAAATTGTTATTATATTAAAATGACTGATTATCCACTAAAGTATTCATGAATTCAGATATTATGCACTATTATTATTAATATTCACTGAAACTAGGAATTTTCATTATTCCAAATGGCTATTTCAAATGAATAATTATCCAAAGTATTCATGGAATTCAGATACAATGTATGATTTCACTATTAATATGCACTGAAACTATGAAATCTTGTTATTCCAAATTCATTATTGATATACCAAATGAATAATTATCATGATTATCCAAGTTATTTAGTCATCCAGTACTGTGGTCCTCCTTTAATACAATTTGTAAGTTTCCTATTTGTACAATGCACAATTTTTTTTCTTGTCCAATTTAATCCTAACATCACAAGTCATCATCATCATGGAATAATGCTGCAAGTGCTATTCATTATTTCCAAAAACAATAAATAACTAGCACAAAATAATGAATTAATCCACTGTTTCACAATTTGCAGCTATAAGAGTGACTCAGTGACATCTATATTTCCTATGCATCAAAGTGCACATGTAGCAGGCTTCATATTCTAAGTGGGAATCATGCTCAAGCCAATATGAATCTACAAAAAAAAATATACATTGAGACTAAAGTACAGTAAAATTTTAGCTAACATAATACTATATACATTGTACGGTACTTAGAAGAAAGTCAATTACAATAACTGTATCTACCTAGATGAAAACTAGCAATCCTCATTTGATTGACGAAAAAATTTCTAGGACTTATACAATTATATTTTTAAGTCCCAGTTTTAAACAAGAAGAATAAATCTTTTTAGTGGGTCTAAATTCTATGTATGGTCTTTTTTCTACATTAATGATTTTTTATGTGTGACTGTGTACTTTCATTGAAGGGTTACTGTCTTATTGAGGCTCACACCATACTTTATTTCATCAATTCTTTAAAGTCAGACATCATGGACATAGTTATTCCTCTCTAAAACACAACAGGTTATTGCTTTTGTTCATGTTAATATGAAATAAATTGATACTACAGAGAAAAGTTTAAAGAATGAAAAAAATAATTAAATAAATAAATGCACTGTTACTATATAGATGCTATTGACTTTCCCTTTGTCAAGTGCATATAATGAATAAACCTTTGTGATGTAAATGTAGAATCTTTGTCCTAAGGTTAATCAGGATGATATATATACTGTTCCAAGGCTTAACCCTCCCTGTTAACAGTCAGGGGACTTACTTAAATGAGCGCTTTTCTAAATCACTGATTCAAGTAACATTATGACCATAAAGGTTGGAAGTAAGAGTTGTTTTTCTTTAATAATCACCTATTTAAGTACATGTAGTACAAATTAATCACTAGCCTAAGTGATTTAATTTTATTGTAGCTTTAAATATAGAATACTATTGATCCAGGGGCTAATTATGTTGCTAAATTTATCAAAACCAACATCTGTGTTGATAGGATGACCCGGTCATGTCAGGTGATGACCTTGTACTAAATCTAGGATAATGACATAAAAATCACTTGTTTAAGTATCATACCTCAATTTCCTTCCAAAAAATCATTTCTTTTAATAAGTATCATTATTTTAATAACCCCCACTAATTTCAACACCCCAAACAGTGAAATTTTTATCGTGAACAGTAGAATTTTTTTTTCTTAATCTATAAGATGAAACCTTGAATTTTACAGGGCAAATACTCCCACAGTGGCACTGCTGAGAAAAATCTGTTAAGAAAGTATCAGTTCATTATGTAAAGCCATTTTTATAGCATTTTTTCAACTAAAATAGAATTTGCAGCTAAATGATTGCATCAAAGGCATAAACCTTGCTGCTTAAAAGAAGCAAAAAGTTCATTTTTTTTTCAATTTTACTAATGAAAAGATATTATGTAAACCTATGTGTTTAAAATTTTGGTAAAACTACAAAATCACAATTTGTGACAAACCTTCCAATTTGCTACTTAAATAAGTGACTTAAAAATCACTTATTTCAAAAAGTCCCCTGACTGGTTAATGTTTTAAATCCTTGAGTTTAATTTTACATCTTTTGTGTTACCCTGTATACTTTTTCCTTATTACAGCTTGTATTAAATAATGCTTTGCAGCTCAGACAACACTTTCTTTATTTTATTTTAGTTATTTACCCAATTTTATTTTGATAAATCAATACTCAGATAACTTTTAAAATATGCATTTTTTGTAACCAAAATAATATTATATCCTGCTGATTCATATTTTTCTTAAATTACAATTTATTTTGAAATATTTATCAAAATTTTGAAGAGGACAATTATAATTTGTGAACATCATTATAAAATCATCTTCAATATATACCCATGACAGTTTAAAATTCCTCCCCAAGGCAATAAACTATTGTGTGTCTTAATCTGTATATTAGCTATAACATGTATATAAGAATTCCTGATTATTACCTATCCAGTGTTAACATCCTGATTATTACCTATTTTAATGTCACATTTGCATGGTCATGAATTCATGTTCAGTAAATACATAAATTTTAATTATTTATTTTGAATTTGAATAAAAGGTATTTTTAAACTAAATTATTGGACATACAATGCAGTTAACACAGTAAATTTTATGACAACTTACTTGATACTACAATATCTATAAAAATATTTTGAGCTTCATAAAATACTTTAAAAAAGTTTATACCATGTTTAGATAAAAAAAAAATATGCTTACAGATAGATATTTTTGTTATGTTTTCCCCACATATTGAATGTTAAACATAAAATAATTATGTAGAAAAGGCAAAAAATCTGCAGTCAGATGTGAATGCACATGATGAAAGGAGATGTGGGATATAATTATATATCAATGATGCATCAACCCAACAGTAAGGCAACAATAAAGTAACCAAAACACAATTTAACACACAAATTTGACTCATGAATAGAAAGTCCTTTAATCATTTTAATGGTGGAATAAATAAAAAGACCCTTGAATGTTACTACTAGATAACAGTTATGGCATAAATGAATTTTGACTAACCAGAGGGCACAATTTATATAAAAATTTCACATGAAAATATATAGTTTAGGTTCAAAGTATTTACAAATTTATAGTGATTTAATATTCTATGTTAAATCTAAAAAGAATATAATTATGATGCTCACTTTGCTCTTTTAATATGTTTTTTATTTCTTTTTAACTTAAAATCATGTACATGTAGCAATTAACATGATGACATATTTATAGATATTTTATTCATTGTAATTATTCATTTTGAGAAAAGATGCAACAACCTCCACAACCCTTGTTCAATATGAATCTTTAAGTACATGATGAAAGAATTACTAATTGAATTAGCACATTTTGTTTAATCAACTGTGTTTAAATGGCAACTGTTTTGAATCTGTGCAAGGTTTCAGGAACATTAATTTAATAATATTGTTTTATTTTGATGATTAATGTTATTTTGAACCATCTAATAAATGCTAATACATATTCACTTTCAATGCCTTATATTATCAAATATATTCATGTTTTGTTGTCCATGATTTGGGAATTATTTAAAAATTGAATGAAATGCATACTTGCTAAATAAGTCACTAAAATTTATACTTTTCATAAAATTTTATGGTCAGATCATATGTTTTCATACACCGTCATATTAATTTGTACTATGCATGTTTTTTCAATGGAAATTGTGACGTCACAATGCATTCTTAATAGAACGAAAACTATCAGCTGATAAAGCAAAACCAGGGAAATACTTGTAATCCAGCATTAGTAACACAATTATATGGATATGTACATGTAAAGATTGGTTGGTTGTTGGTTATAAGAAGTCCAGTGACAAGTATTTCATGCAAATTTAAGACCAGAGTTAACAATACATTAACATACAATATGTACATTATGTATAGGTCCTGTAAAAGGTCATCCCGCACAACAAAAGTTAACCAATGCCCCACATGTTAGAGTTTAACAGTAAGACGATGAAGATCAAGAGTAACCTTTTTTTATTCCCTTGACCTTGTCACCCTTGGGGTGATGTATGCAAAGTAAATAAGGGATTAAATGAAATACACATGATAAAAGGGGGAGGGGGAATGGTGTCAAACATGAATTTCAATGATGCACAACTTTTCCAAGCCCAAATCCTAACTTTGCCTTGGAACATGCAACTATGCACGAGTGTGGTGATATAGATCGTCGATTCATAGCCTGTCTGTAGGAAGAACAAATATGCACATTTTCCCTTCAAAATCTTGGATCCATGATTATTCGATAGACATGCTTTAAAATATTATTCATTTCTACTCACCGATTGTAATTTCCAGCTCCGCTTATATTGTACATGTGGTCTAACAACTGTAGTTTCCTGTGTAAAATATAGTTTGCCGACCTCCAGGTCCAGTTTGCCGACAAGAAAATAAAGAGGGTAAATCGTCCACGGTGAAGAATTGTTTTCCGTTTTTAAAGAAACTTGACAGATTTAATTAATTATTTTTTTAATCATCGGAAAATATTCCTCATGGAGAGTAATTCAAATTAAAAATGTTTTATTATGCTGTACAATATTGATAACTTAGTCATATTCTTTAAATTTACTTCAGGTACACCGACGGTACATTTTCTATTCCTCAGAATTTATCAAAACTTTTTCAAATATAAATTTGAATGAATTCATTAGCATCTTCTGCAATAATATTAAAACTCCATTTTTAAACGAAGGCTTCTGGTGTGTAAAACCAGTTATGAACGAATCTGAATAGATAAAATAAAAAGTAAAGATACCTAAAGGAAAGTAAAACGCACATGTCAAAAATGAACGGACAATGCTATGGCAATAAACGGAAAATGACAAAAGATAAACAACGATCGCAAAATAAATAAATAAAAAACAAAACAAGTCAACAACCGCACAATAGATGACAATAGTATAAATTATGGGCTATTTCACAACTATATCAAATCTTGAGAGCCGGGTGAAACGTAAATTTTTTCTATACACTGAGTTGCTACAGTGACGCTAAAATATTTGTCGACTGCAACAACCTATGAAATGTTTGTTTTAAACATTTAACGACTGTAGCAACCTTTTAAAATTTGTAATAAACATTTTATGACTGTAACAACCTTTAAAAAAATTTAACAAACATTTTACAACTGTCCCAACTCTAAAAACGTTGTAACAAACATTTTTTGACTGCATCAACGTCTAAAAAGTTGACACAAACAAATTTCAACTGTCCCAACTATTAAAAGGTTGGGACAAACATTATACAACTGCCACAACTTTTGGAAAGACTGTAATAAATAGTATTTGACTGTGACAACCCCGTAGACCACTGCAACAGTCCTTAAATGACTGTTGATAACATATTTTGATTTTCACAACCCATAAAAGTGTTGGAACAGACATTAATCAACTGTATCAGTTTCTTTGACAGTCATCTTCAGTCTTCCACAGACTAAGACAGTCGTAGAACGACTGTTACTGGTATGGACAGTTGTTTTTTCGTCCAGTAGTGATTTTCCCTGACATTTTCTTTCAATCAACTTTCGTCAGTTAGTTATTCGGACAGAAGAGGTTTTCGAATTAAGTTTTAAAAGATATCTACATTTGGGCACTATTCAAGCATGTTAAATTACGTTTCGGTGAAGGGTCGGAATTTTTTTTCTTGGTATCATGAATTCCCAGTAGCAGCTTGGTCATTTTTAAGTGTACGTCTGGACCTCGGCGAGAGGTCTGAAGGCCTCCAGCGGGTCCAGGGCAGTGGACCTTCTGGTATGGGTTCGAGGGGCAAAGCCCCCGGAAGCTAACAAGTTATCGAGAAACCGTCCACCTAGACTATTGTTATGCCATATAGGAGACAACAATTAAGACAAACACCGAGAAGGGAAAAAAGAAAAAGCAAAAAACTAAATAGAAGAATTTCAGAGTGTCAGGTTTATGTCGAACACGCCATCAGACGTTGAAAACATTTAAGGTTATCAGAACTTTGAGACGACATCCAAGACACGAATTAAATCAATTTATTGAATTGTGTGCTAGACTTGTGAAGAGACAAACTGAGTTATTTGACTATACATATATTCTACTCATATCATTCAATGTATATATTTAGACTTTTGGCCGAAAAGTCTGTCTTTCCCATTCTTAACCCTTTTATATATTTTGCCCTCCGAAAATCAAAGAAATACAAATGAATATATGAAGATCTACGAAAGGCCCCTGCACGTTTTAAAATTAGGAGTTAACTGTTCGCTTTATATTGTATCAAACATACCACAAACGTAAACTATACCACGCCGAGATACTTTTCAATGCAATTGCATTTTGAGAAAGTACACACTTAAATCCTGTATCGGTATTGTTATTTAACATCAGCGCAGTATTTAAATCCCTTTCCTACCCTTTCCTAACACACGTCTATTCATCTGTAAACTTTATAAAATCTTCAGATTAATATAAACCAACTTGATATGTGCCTGTTTAAGTCAGGAGCCTGTAATTCAGTGGTTGTCGTTTGTTGGTGTGTTACACATTTGTTTTTCGTTCATTTTTGTACATAAATTAGGCCGTTAGTTTTCTCGTCTGAATTGTTTTACATTTGTCATTTCGGGGCCTTTTATAGCAGACTATGCGGTATGGGCTTTTCATATTGTTGAAGGCCATACGGTGACCTATAGTTGTGAATTTCTGTGTCATTGGGCCTCTTATGGAGAGTTATCTCATTGGCAATTATACCACATCTTCTTTTTTATATTGATAATAATAATCTGTGGGTCATGCAGTTTTTAAATTTTATATTGTAAATTCAGAAATTTATACATATATATGGCATTTATTTTTGTAAATTTTGAAGAATGGACAAAAAATGCGATATTAATTATTGTGATTGAATAAAAATGAGTACAGATCCATGTATTAGATACTAGAATGTGGGTTCTTATTATTGTGATAATAACCCAGTCGCATTATTTCCATTTATATAAAACTTTCTGAATTTACAGTAAATAAAATAATATGTCAGTGAGCGTCAACCAAACAAGCCTGAGATGGACTTTGTTCCAGCCAAACAACAAATATAGGTCACCATTTACAAAGAGATTGTTGTTAGTAAAGATGACCTTTTTATGTCTTTCTTTGTACATTTACATACTCAGCTATTTGTTTTATAGTTGCTTAATAAGTATTGACACTTGTTATTTTTTTTTTCTAGACATAGTAAATTGCATTTGAATTGAAATAACAATTTTTTCTCAATTTGTATTTCTTTTCAGACTTTTTGATATGTACAGGAAGTAAAATATATCACAGTAGTTATGTGATGGTCGTTTTCTCGTGGTCTTAAGCTTCAAGGTGAAATATTTGTCACTGTGACATTGAGATGAAGAACTGCAACAACAGTACTATTTGTTTTCCTAAGGTTGTGTAAGGTGTGTCATGATGCAGTTCATCACATCCCGCACTTTTTATTTTTCATAGCTCCTGCATTTTGTATGTGAGCAGTTTCCATCACTTGACTTCTGTTAAGGAATTGGAAAAAAGTGGGTCTTGGTGCTCTTAAGGCCCTGTCACTTAAGGTCATCTACGTTAAACTGAATCAGCCTACAAACCTAGTTGGGGTCAGATTCCTGTCTGTGTAACTGTATAATTTTTCCCTAAAATGAATTTGTTGTTTCCTTTCCTTTCGGTCAATAGTTCGAGGACTTTAATACATCCATTGATTACAAATTTTTAGGTTTAAAATGTCCTTCAAAAATTCAGAAAAGTGTTTTTTTATGAATTGTATCAGCCTTCTATGTGATAAAAGAATATTCCATTTACAACAAAAACACTGTTTCATGTATTTGCCATTATCAGGACATACTTAGATACAAATGTTAACTTTTATTATGTACAAGTCCAAAAGAGAATGTAGCCATTATTTTGTATGTATTATAGTATACACTAAGTTATTTGCTTGAACGTGCAAGGGATTGGGGGGGGGGGGGGGGGGGGTGGATTTGAAAAATCAGTTATGCTACCCCTTTTATACTCATTGGCTATGTCCAGAGTTAAATATAACAATAAATTAGTACATATTGGCAATGTTTTTAATATTGAGAACATTAAAACCATATAGGTTTCAACAATTTACATTTTCATTTTTTTTTAGCATAATTTGTCATATTTGTGTGAAGTATATAATTTCCTATAAAATAAGGAGAATTTATACTCTTAAAAGTCAGCAATCGCGCACTGTAGTCATACTGCATAAAGAAACAATTTTAAGATTTTTTTCTATGGTTCATTTTGTTGATTCTGTCATGCTCAGCTGCTGAACTTCATTGTGTGACCTGCAATTAAAAGGATACATACACGTTTCTGAACTGCTAGGATAACATAAAATAAATACCAAGAACATACTTTCATGCAGAGGAAAAGTGCAAATTATAATAAATATTTCATGTAATTAAAAAAGACAAAATGTTACAATACATTAATTTAACATAAATATTAATGCCATATTAAAAAATTTTCAATTATCATCACACTGTTGTATATTTGTCTAGGGGCTGACAAGTTTTTTTTTAAAATCATTTTTGTTTCAAAATGAAAATAAAGAAAATAGCCAAAGATATTTATTTAACTACGGCTCTGAATAGACAGACTTGGGGAAGAAGTGTAACCCCCACCCCTCGGCATGAAATCTGAATGCTCAGATTTTACCATTTCACATAATTATGAAATGATTCTTCCCAGGGGGATGAGAATCTGTTTATTATGATGGCCTCAACGAAACATTTAGTTTGTACGCTTGACTTTAGAAAAACCAAAATTTTAAATCATGAATAAATATAATATGATGAAACTGTGATATTGTTTACTGCAAGCATATACATTTAAAAAATTACAACTCGTGCTAAAATGAATGAAGAAGTTTATATGTATAATACATGTATACCAATGAGACAGAGCTCAAAAAGAAAAGATGATAAACCAAATATATATAAAAAAGTTGCTCATCATAATGCATGGACAAGTGTCAAAAACATTTATGAAGAATGCAGTATGTATGCATTAACATACTACATACATCAGGCCCTTAGCCAGGGGGTCCAATGGTTCTTACGAACCCCCTTTTGAAACCTAATAAGCACTATATAGTCTATTAAAGTGAATTTTTATTTGTCGTAAGTCCATACCGACCCTTTTGAAAATTCCTAGCTCCAGGCCTGTACATTACTTTTTTACATGTAAGTGAAGGTATGAACAGTTAACTCTGTAGTCAAATTCTTACCTTAAGCAGCAATAGAAATTCCAATTTTGCAATTTATTAATTGAAAGTTAAAATTTTCTTTAACTCTAGTACAAGGACACTCGGGGTCATGTAGAAGAATATCTCCTACAATAAAAAAGAATTCATGCATGGTAAAACATATAGAAAAATATTTCTATTCCTAATTTTTTAAGCTGTTTATCATGTTTATGTGTAATAGTAAAAGTTC